TCTGTAGCCTTTCTATATACCAATAACAAGCAATTGGAGAAAGAATACAGGGAAATGCTCCCATTCACAATTGCTGCAAAAAATTGTCTTGGAATAAATCTGACAAAAGACACCAAAGATCTCTACAATGAAAATTTTAAATCATTAAAGAAAGAGATTGAGGAAGACACCAGGAGATGGAAGGACCTCCAATGCTCATGGAAGAATTAATACTGTGAAAATGGCCACCCTACCAAAAGCAATATATAGATTCAATGCCATCCCAGTCCGAATCCCCATGACATACTTCACAGAATTAGAAAAAAAATCCTTAAATTCATATGGAGGCACAAAAGACCCTAGATAGGCAGCACAACCCTGAGCACAAAGAGCAATGCAGGGAGGATTACTATACCAGATCTCAAAGTACACTACAGAGCTATAGTCATAAAAACAGCATGGTACTGGCATAAAAATAGACACATAGATTAACGGAACATCACTGAAGACCCAAGCCCGAGTACACACAATTTCAGCCACCTGATATTTGACAAAGGTGCCAAGAACACACAATGGAGGAAACACAGCACCTTCAACAAATGGTGCTGGCAAAACTGGGTCTTGACCTTTAGAAGAATGAAACTAGACCCTTATCTTTCACCTTGCACAAAAGTCAATTCCAAATGGATCAAAGACCTCAATGTGAAACTGGAAACCCTGAAACTATTAGAAGAAAATATTGACAGTAACTTACAGGATATAGGTGTAGGAACAGATTTTCTAAATTGTACAGAAGTTACTCAGGGATTAAGGTCAGCAGTCAACAAGTGGGACCTCATTAAACTAAAAAGCTTCTGTACAGAAAAAGAAACAATCAAAAAAGTGAATAGAAAACCCACAGAATGGGGAAAAAATTTTCACCAGTGACACATCTGACAGAGGTTTAACATCCAGAATTATAAAGAACTCAAAAAACAAAGACTTGAGAAACTAAATGACCCAACTAAAAGATGGGCTAAAGATCTAAACAGAGAGTTCTCAGAGGAAGAAATAAAGATGGCTAAGAAACACCTCAAAAAGTGTTCAACATTTTTAGTAATTAGGGAAATGCAAATTAAAACCACCCTAAGGTATCACCTTACCCAAATCACACTGTCTAGAATCAAGAGAACAAATGATACCAAATGCTGGTGAGGATGTGGAGAAAGGGGAATGCTCATTCACTGCTGGTGGGATTGCAAATGCTTGCAACCTCTATGGAAAACAGTGTGGAGAGCTCTTAAAAAACTAAAAAAGAACCTACCATATGACCAGGTTATACCACTCCTTGGCATATACCCAAAGGACTCATCCTATTGTAGAGACACTTGTACAACGATGTTTGTTGCTGCTCTTTTCACAACAGCTAAGAGATGGAAGCAACTTAAGTGTCCTTCAACTGACGAGTGGTTAACAAAAATGTAGTATATTTACACGATGGAGTTCTATTCAGTAGTAAAGAAAGATGAAATAATGAAATTTGCAGGTAGATGGATGGATCTAGAAACTGTTATACTAAGTAACACAGACTCAGAAAAACAAATGATGTATGTTCTCCCTCATGTGGATCCTAGCATGAAATCCTTTTAAATTCCAGGTCCTTTTAATGAGATGATGCTGTACAGCAGTCCCTTCTGCATGAAATAACTACCATCGTCATGACTTCAGCTGAGCCTGATGGCTAAATATTGGGCTTGTTGACAGTTGTGTTCATTCCTTAAAGGAGGGCCAAGCAGAGTCATTGGAGCCTCACTGGAGTATCCAGCCACTCTTCCCAGCAAAGTGTATTTAATTTGGCCCTAATCACACATGGCCTCCTGGATTTGGAGAGGGCTAAAGTATACAGTCTGGGGAAGGCTAGGAAGAGAAGGTATGACCCATGCTGAGTAAAGGCTTTCCACTGTGCATACCCTCAGGTCATACATACACCTCAGCAAACCATCAGTTATTTCAGTAAGTAAGCTCAATAAATTCATTGGTTCCCCATTAAAACTTTAATTAGACATTGGCTTGACACTAGAACCTTAAAGGGAATAAGCATTTTTCCCCAGGAGAAGAATTCTCACAACAGATGGAAAATTTATTTGTTAAAGCTTTTATGTCTCATAATTATTTTTTTTAAAAAAAAGAAAGAAACTGGGTGTGGTGGCGCACACCTTTAATCCCAGCACTCAGAAGGCAGAGGCAGGTGGATTGCTGTGAGTTCAAGGCCAGCCTGGTCTACATAGTGAGTTCCGGTCAGCTGGGACTACAAGGAGACCCCGTCTCAAAAAAGACAAAAAAAAAAAAAGGGAAAATGAGAATGTAAAAGATGTTAAAAGGATATGGGAATGGAGATATTTACCAAAATAGAAAAAATGAGAAAGCCTAAGCAAGTGATGAAGGTCTGTGTAGGTTTGTTATGATATATAAAGGATGAGAGAAAAATAATATAAACATCTTAAAATTTCTAAGGTCATAGTTTAGTCAGCTCATTTAAGGAACAAAATATATATCTAGTCAAATTTTATCTGAGAATATTTGTTTCTTTTTTCCCCAAGTTTTATCTACACAGCACATGGTAATTAAAAGTACCAGACTAAGCCAGGTGTGGTGGTGTACACCTGTAGTCCCAGCACTTGGGAGGCAGAGGCAGGCGGATCTCTGTGGGTTCAAGGCCAACCTGGTCTACATAGTGAGTTCCAGGCCAGCTGGGGCTACAGGGAGACCCTGTTTCAAAAAGACCAAAAAAAAAAAAAAAAAAAAAAAAAAAAAAAAAAAAAAAAAAAAAGTACTAGACTGATGGAACTAACCTTATTGGATATTTAAGAGCCATACTTTGAGGCCTATACTAATCTGATCAGAGGGACTTAAAGGACAGGTTTTGCCCCTTGTGTTCCAAGGTCAACTAAGTTCCAAGGGACTGTGGAACATCCCTCAAAAGGTCCTGTAACTGTGGTGAGTCACCTGTCCTCTTGTTCATGGAGACCCATTGAGATGGACTTGAACCAGTGTCCAGTCTACAAAGAGGAGGGTCAACTCAGAGAAAACATCTCATCCATGCTTCCAAGTGAAGCCAGACATGGTTGAACAGGACCTTTGACTTGTCTTCACATAGATGGAACTGGTAAGAGAAAGGATCCAGGAGCGCCTCCCAAGCCCATGTGACCCCTGAGGAACAGATCCTCAAACAACCTTAAGTGTAAAAATAGATTTATTTGGGCCAACTGTATGGTCTTAAATGTCCAAAAGGAAAGTATAACCAAAGAGTAAAGTCATCAGTATATTTAAGAGTTCAAGGGCTTACAGTTTCCAGATATTAGGCTTAAGTCCATATAAAAAGTTAGACAATTATTTATCATTGATGATTTTGTTCCTAATCAGAAAGTGCTGCTCAGATGTAAGACTTCAAATCTTGGTCTCCAATACTGTAGTGCCCACCTGTAGCTAAGAGAGACAACCTGTGATTATTCTAAAATGATGGATAAATTTGTTTTCTCCCCCTATCTAGAAGCCTTTGAGAGGGAACACGACACTGATTCTAACCACTCCAACCTGAAAGCAAATCCTGAATCCATCACTCTGGAGTCCAGCTTTGGCAGACAAAAGAAAAATGAGGAGGAAGCCAATAGAGGGATGCTTTTAGAAGCCCTTGTCAAGAAATTCCAATGGACTCTCATATGAACATTTGAAAATTGCCCTGTTCTGACCTTTTTTCTAGTTCCCTATCTAGAACTTGTAATGCTAATTACTCTTTACTTCTTCACACACACACACACACACACACACACACAAAGTGTTATGTAATTTTGGAGTCTTTTATAGATAGACCCACTGTAGGGGTACCCCAATTGCATAACCCCGTGTCCCCCTGTTCAGCAAGGAAGAAGCCAGAGTGGTCTGTGTCCCTATTTCCTATCGGCAATTTGGGTAACCTTTTCAGAGGATAGTGTGATAAGAAGAGGAGGTAGGGCTTTGACAAGGTGTCAGCACCTTTCTTTCATTAAGGGGAAGGCATGAGGAAAGTACCAAATGGCAGCAGACTTTTAAACTTTAAATAGACAGTTCTGAGGGCTGGAGCTTGCCTTTTCATTTGACTTCATCCTCCAAGGAGTTCTACCACTTTGGTGCACCTATTTCACTTCCATTAAGTGAGTGAGAGTTGCCCAGGTGACATGGGTGACTGGAGAGCCTTAGGGAAAGTCCTGGACAAGATCCAGGCCTACTCCACTGATGGAGGGAAGGTGTGGCTGTCAGTCCTCTTCATTTTCAGAATCCTGCTGCTGGCGACAGTCCAGTCAGCTTGGGGTGATGAGCAGTCAGCTTTTCACTGTTAACACTCAGCAGCCTGGTTGTGAGAACATCTGCTATGACAAGTCCTTCCCCATCTCTCATGTGTGCTTCTGGGTCCTTCAGATCGTATTCATGTCTGTGCCCACACTCCTGTACCTGGCTCATGTGTTCTACGTGCTGAGAAAGGGGAAGAAACTGAACATGAAAGAGGAGCTCAAAGTGGCCCAGACGGATGGTGTCAACATGGAGATGCACTTGAAGCAGATTGAAATCAAGTTCAAGTATGGGTTTGAAGAGCACGGGAAGGTGAAGATGAGAGGGGGTGAGAACCTACATCATCAATATCCTCTTCAAGTCGGTCTTTGAAGTGGCCTTCCTGCTGATCCAGTGCTACATCTATGGCTTCAGCCTGAGTGCCATCTACACCGAGTGCCATCTACACCTGCAAACGAGACCCCTGCCCCCATCAGGTGGCCTGCTTCCTCTCCCGTCTGACAGAGAAAACCATCTTCATCATCTTCATGCTGGTGGTGTCCTTGGTCTCTTGCCTTGAATATCATCCAACTCTTCTGTGTCTTCTTCAAAGGTATTAAGGATTGTGTGAAGGGCAGGAGTGACCCTTACCACGCCACCACTGGCCCTCTGACCCCCTCTAAAGACTGTGGATCCCCAAAATACGCCTATTTCAATGGCTGTTCCTCTCTTACCTATGTTCCCTCCTGGGTACAAGCTGGTTACTGGTGACAGAAACAATTCCTCCTGCCGTAATTACAACAAGCAAGCGAGTGAGCAGAACTGGGCTAATTACTGCGCCGAGCAGAATGGAATGGGGCAGGCAGGAAGCACCATCTCCAACTCCCATGCTCAGCCTTTGGATTTCCTGGATGATAACCAGAATGCCAAAAAAATTGCTGCTGGACATGAACTCCAGCCATTAGCCATTGTGGACCAACGACCTTCAAGCAGAGCCAGCAGCCGTGCCAGCAGCAGACCTCGGCCTGACAACCTGGAGATCTAGCCAGGCTTGCGAGCATCAAGATGCCACTCATTGTGGAGGAGAAAAAAATGGTGCTATAGAAAGCACACCTGAGGTGTTCATTTTGCTCAGTAGAGGTGGTACTCAACAGCCTTAGTCAAGAGGCTTAGGAAACAAAGGCATTACAATACCTAGGTTCTTTGGGGGTGTCTGGGATAGGTGGGTGGAGCAGGTGGGGATAAGGGAGGTACATGCTGGTATTTAAGGTAGTAGATTCAAGGAGCTTAAATTCTAAATAAGATTCACATTGGGTGAACATAGGTAAGGGCTTTCTCCTTCCTCCCACAGCCAATACCCCTAAGAATGGTTCTGTATATGTGAGAGAGTGGGTGCTAATTTTTATCTTTGTTTTACCAAGAAACTGAAATAGCTTTGGCCACAGATAAATACTTCCCCAATCGTACATTTTCTCTCAGTACAAAAAGAACATTGTCCTGTCCCTGTTAAAACATTCCATTGTTAAAATTTTCACTTTGAAGGTAAGCTTTCTAGGCCTTGACCCTCCAGGTGTCAATGGACTTATGCTAATATATATATATATGCTACTATATATATATATATATATCAATTAAAAATTCAGACAAGGCTCACAGAAAGATTCCCATGCATTTGCATCTCAGCTGGTTCTTCTTCACATCTGTTCCATCATGTCACCATCACTGGTTCATCATTCCTCAACTGCTCCTCACATTCACTGGATGGTTTCTGTCAACAGTTTTGAAATAGTCGGGTTGTCATTTAGTGGTTTGAGTTAGCATCAGGGAAGCAAGCCATGCTCAATGTTTAACAATCACTTCTCTGTGTGTGTGCAGGTGTGTGTGTAGTGTGTTTTATTTTCATTATTGGTACAAGTAGATGTAGTATAGACTCACAATTTCAGATTTGAATCTAATACACACACACTGTTCAAATTAACCTTCCTCATGGGTTTTTGTGGTGTGGGCCAATATGGTGTTTACATTATATAATTCTGGCTGTGCAAGTCAAACAAACTTTTTTCCTAAACTATTTTTTCCCATGTATCCTATTATGGATACTGGTTTTGTTAATTGCAATTATTATTCTCTTTTTTAGAATGTAGCAGTAATGTTATTACTGAAATGATGTCCTTTCTCTAAAATACAATCATTGATGCTTGAATGATAGAATTTTAGTACTGTAAACAGGCTTTAGAATTAGAAAAAATGCTTAGAGTGGACTAGTTAAGTGCCTAAGTGAATTCTGCAGTAACTGGTATCTGGTTTTGCCCTACTTAACTACACATTAATTCAGCACTTGTATTCTGAGTTTGACAGTCTTGGGATGATCAGCAACTTTGTTTGCACTAAGAATTTATTTGGAATGCAAGAGGGGTTGAGAGAGGTTTCCGAAGTGCACATTTTTGGCCTTTGGAATGGAGTATGTTGCTAAGAGGCCCAAGGACATTGTGACTTTTAGCCAAAAAAACAAGTTTTTTTTTTTTTTTTTTTTTTTTTTTTTTTAAATCTTTATACTAAATTAAAACTTTATTGAATAAAGAACTCTCTCCAGAGCACATGATTGGATGGGCTAGGTCTACATTACATGTAATGAAGCTGAACTTGACAGTAGTTTAACATGGAACATCAAACAAATTAGTGTTTTTCCATTGTACAAAACCATTTATGTAGCTGATGTGCAAGAAAAGTATGAAACTCAACATTCACCAATCATCTGTGATGAACTAAAAAAAAGGCACTTGAAGAAACTGGTAGATGTCTTTAGCATATGGTTCAAATAGCACTGGATCACCAGGAAGGCCACTTCGAAAACCGACTTGAAGAGGATAGTACCCAGTGTTGCTCAGTGATAAAGAACTGCACTATCAAGTTGTGAAAAGACACAGAGAGAATGCCAATGCATACTCCTAAGTGAAAGAAGCCAGTCTAACTACTGCTAAGTCCAACTGCATGATAGTCTAGTAAGGGAAAAATCATGGAGGCAGTTGCCAGGGCATTAGAGGAGAAAGGGATGAACAAGGGAGCACAGAGAATTTTTAGGGCAGTGAAGCCATTCTGTACACCACTGTACCAATGGATACATGCCATCATACATTTGTCTAAACCCACAGAATGCCCAACACCAAGTGTGAATCCTCGTGTAAACTATAGACTCTGGAGGTAATGATATGTCAAAGCAGATTTGCCAACCATAACTCATGTACCACCCTGGTGTGGAATGAGGACAGTGACAGAGGCTGTGCATGTATGGGGACAAAACAGTGCTTAACACCTCTGTATTTTCTGTCCAATTTTGCTGTGAATGTAAAACTGCTCTTATTGAAAAATAAGAACCACTATGTCCTGAAGACAAGATCAAGCATATCAGGCAGGGGTGCAGGGTCAGGTCTGCGGCTCTGTAGGGCGAAACTAGGAGGACCCACTTGAAAGAAGGCCCGACAACAGGGTTTCTCCACACTCCACAAAGGCTAACCCTGAGCCAGTGACGGGACTTTTTATGTCTGGCTAGTTCAGGGCACACAGGATATGGAGAGGGATGGTGCTTAATCCCTGCACCTGCCACTTCCTGACTGTGCTCTTGGGTATGTCACTTCAGCAAGCTGAGCTGTCTTCCTCATTTGTGAAGACAGATATGAGCTTTGTAAACTGTTGAACACTTCATGCCAGGTGTGTGTTGGTTATGCTACATGGCCACAGCTGTTCCCTCATGGTCAGCTCCTGGCTTTCGAGGATAGGTCTACATCTTAGTGCGTAAGATCCATAGCTCATGTGGGGACAGGCTGTGAGAGTGAAAGTGCCAGTCCTAGAGCTGTCTGTTGTATGTGACATTTGCAGTGGAAAGGATAAAGCTCCAAAGATTTCCACACACATCAACACACAATATAGTCATCCAGCCAACAGAGGCACAATGACCAAGTGTCCCTTTCATTAAATGGATGACAAAATGAAGAGCAGCTCCCACACAATGGCTTGGAAGACTGGGGAGTAGCATCCAGTGAACAGAAGCCACATTCGCTGAACTCCCAAATGTTTGATGCCTGGCTCTTCCTCTTTCCAACACAAGAAACAATCTGGGAGAGCAATACTTAAAAGTTCAGTGCAGGTGACCATTTACTGTGTGTCCAAGAGTTAAAGCAGAAATTTATTAAAATCCACTTATAGAGTATTTTACACACATACACACAAAGAATAGAGTCCTCAATATCCAGTCAATCAACTTCTCAGAACTGCTTCATAAGAAAATGAGTTTCTTTGCCCTCCACCCCCGGAAGGTATTTCTGCTGTTTATGTTCCTGAAAATGATGCATTTAATAACACCACCTTCATAAGAACAATCCTTAGAGATCCCAAACCTCTGCAGAGAGTAAAGATACTAGCATAGAACCTTCTCCAAAATTCAGTGCCTCGAAACAGAGGTGTAGTGCAAGAAAGACATGAATTGGCGGCTCCTCAGAGGCTGTGCATACACTTAGAGGAAGACCACTGGAGAGCTCAGGTCTCAGCTGGGTGGCCCTAGCTGCGGAGTGTGGCCAGTCGGGACTGCATGGCCTCCAGGTCCTCTTCTTCCTCCTCCTCATCCTCTGAAGCAGCCATTGCTCCTGCAGGTTCTGGCTCAGGAAGGGCATCGGTCACTTTACTAGGTGCTTTGCCTAAGGCCCCTGAAAAAAAGAGACAGAGCATGGCTGAAAAACCCACTGACTTAAGGAAGTGACTGGGAAGTGGTTCCCAGTCTTTCATTCTTGGACCAATGACAAGGGCAGTGGAACATGCTACCTCGGGCAGGGATTTGCCCACTGTGACAAATGTGCACACAACGACTTGTCACAGCAGAAAGTCCTGGTGTTCATGCACATGTGCAAGAGACAGAGAAAGAAAGAGAGAGAAAGAGAGGCTGAGAAGACTGTTTGAGACTAGCATGGACCTAACAGGACTCTACTTCAAACGCCACCACCAAAAACAAATTCAAAAGACAACAGAAAAAAAATATAATTTATTTCTAAATTTTCACAAAATATTTTCTTAGAGTAACTGCTCTTAAGCTCAGCAGTTAAAGAGCACTGGCTGTTCCTGAAGAGGACCAAGGTTTGGTTCCCAGCACCCACAACCCTGCCAACAACCATCTTAATTCCAGTTCCAGAGGATCCAACACCTTCTTCTGGTCTCATACACATTTAAAAAAAAAAATTAATTAAAAAAAATTTTTTTAATAACTGCTCTTCCAACAATTTAAAACAAATGAATAAAATTAAATCTCATCATTTTAGTAAACATAAAATTCAGAAAATCCAGAATTAAAAAATTAAGTTTAAAAACTCGCAGAAATAATTATTTTTATTTATTCCTCTGTTTAATATTGGTATATTTTTACGTTAAACTAAAAGTAAAATGTATATTAATTTGAATTTCCAACAGCAGTTTTCACAATGAAAACTAAAAATTCTTTATTTCTTTAAAAATGGTTATGGTTTTACTGTACTTATTTCTCAATAACTTGAGGGGCTGAAGAGATGGCTCAGAGGTTAAGAGAACTGGCTGCTCTTGCAGAGGATCTAATTCCTAGCACCCACAATGGCCCCTAACTGTCCATAATTCCAGTTCTAGGTGAATCTGACGCCCTCTTCTGACCTCCACAGGCATTGCATGACACAGGTGCACTTACATATATGCAGGCAATACACTCATACACATAAAATAAAAAAGTAATAAATTTTTTTTAAAGAAATAACTTTACTACTCTAACAAAAATGCAGACAGGACTTGGACCCTGAAGCTAGGGGACAATGTCGTGAGGAGGGAAGGGCCAGTAAGGGAAGAGCACACTTCCTTGGATGTACCTGCTGTGATTTCAAACAGGATTCTGTCAATTTCCATTTCTGCTGCTTCTTCCATTTCTTCCTGATCATCCATGCTTTCAAACGTGTCCTCTAACATCTCCTCTATGATCCCAGCCTGAGAAGAAAAATGTTACTTTCCTCAGCTGTTAAATGTTTCTGACAGAAACGCTAGATACCACTCAGACCCAGCTGGAGTCTCTCCAAGTCCAGCCTACCTTCCCACGGCTGAGACAGAAGACAGGGGTGGAGGAAATGCTGGATGCTGTCCTCTCTGCAAACAGACGAAGGCCCAAAGGGACACAGTACTCCATATGAGGCACTGGAGCTGGGAGTGCCCTTGGCACCATCAGTGGTATCTGCATGACTGACGATGGCAGCAGCACTCATGAACACAGGCTGACAGGGTGAGGACACCCTGAGTTGTTTGTGACATGGATCTGGCTAGTATCCTATTTTGCCCAATCTCAGATCCCTTTCCCAAGCCAAATGAACAAATAAACTCATATTCATGTTTACCAAGAAGGATCCACATTGACCTAGCTAAAGAAAGTCGCCTTAATGCTGGGGTCTGCCAGTCAACACACAGCACTTGGGAGGCTGAGGCCAAAGGATGGTAAAAGAAAGAAGTTCGTAATCTGGACTACACAGCAAATTCTAGGCGTGCTTCAGTTGATACAGTGCGATTGCCTTAAAAATCAACCAAACAAATAAAAACCCAACCAAACAAAAAAGAGGTTGAATAAATACTAATTGGTTTAAAAGGCCTGTCAGAATTAGACTTTACCTAACAGCCCTTCTCACTGTGGAGGAAGAAGTCAACATTCACCTGTTTACTCATTCAGTATAACCATTCACCAAATTCCTGATCTACGCTACAAACCCAGGTACTGAGGATAAATGGAACGACTAAGAATGTGTCCGCTCCTTCAGAGCTGGACCACTATGGAAGGCCAGTGTGTACTTGATTGTGTATCACTGGGTACACTCAGCCCTCATATACAAGCTTTACTCTGAATCATTATACTTTCAGTTTCACAAGCCATTGTGAAAAAGATCCCACGTTTCATTTTTAATAAAAGCTTTCCCTCATATGTTGGTGGCTACCTAAATAAAATGTGCAGGCCTGAAGTCACTGCAAGATTTACCCTGTCATCCATTTCTAAATGCACAATGATCACCAGCCTGGTATATACCACTGTAAGAAACACACCCTCCTCTATTCCCTGCTAACTGCTACTACCCACACATTTTCATTTTAAAGAGCCCTGGTCTTTTCTTCCCCCCCCCCCCCCCCCTCCACGACAGGGCCTCACTGAGGAGCCCTGGCAGGCCTGTAACCTGCTATGTAGACCAACTTGCTATGTAGACCAGGCTGGCCTTGATCTCACAGAGATCCACCTGCCTCTACCTCCCAAGTTCTGGGATTAAAGGTATATGCCACCATACCCAGTTTATCATGTATTTCTGTCAATGTTTTTCTCCAGCCTCTCCCATACCCTAATATGGTTCACAACACACTCTGGAAGACAAGATTTCCATGTACAAGAATTTGGGATGTACACTCTTGACTGCCAGGCCACAGCAGCTGTACACGGTGGCAGCTCAGGCAGACACACTTATGCTCCACTTCTAGTACTTACTTAGAACCCAAGAGACCTTAGAAAAGCTGCCTGGCAGCTTCAAGCCTCAATGTGCTATGTGAAATATCAACCCTAACATAATAGCTGGGAGAACATGACAGGGAAAAGTTTGCCACATGCTATCAGCTGTGGTGGCTTAGTAGCAGTGGCCTTCTTACCCCTGTCCCTGTCTGAAGGCCACTAGTGTAGCTCCTTGCTACACCCTGAGGGTGTCAGGTACTTAGTCCTCTCCATTTGGTTCTCAGTCTCTCCTTTTTGTAGTTAAAAACAGGGGTTAGCAAATTACAGGCTGCAAGCCTGATCTGCCTGTTCTTGTAAACAGAGGCTTCATTGCCACAGTCAGCTCAGTTGGTGTAAATGCTATCTAGAGGCTGTTTTTACACTGACTGGCAGAGTTGAGTAGTTACAACACATGAATGACCCAACAAAGCTTACAATGCATTTGTCCTTTAGCATTTTAAGAGAACATGGTACCAATCCCTTGCTGGCCTCACTAATACTGCCCTGGAGCAGTGGAATGCTTTGTCTCTCCTGGCGTCTCCTGGGACCCCTGCCTTTGCTGGAGATCTAGGTGTACTTCTGCTCTTCCCAGCACGTGCAGTCTGACCCAGCCTCTGCCATGCTTGGCACAAATGGTTTCAACCAGGGTCAAGAGTCACTCCTTTACTTAAAACCATTCTGTGAAGCAGCTGCAGTATCTCCAGTCACGCCAACCCCCTCACCCCCCCCCGGTCTAGCCCTGGCCACTTGCTCAGAGCGTGTCCCAGTGGTTTGGAAGGGAAAGCACTAGCCGAGTCACCTTCATCATCTCTTTGGACAGCTCCCGCATGGTGGCTTGGATTTCTGGGATTTTCACAAGGCTCTGCATGGCCTTCATCACTTCTGTGCTCTTCTGCAGGGAACCAGCCACTCTGAGGACCGCTGAAAAGGAAAGACTGCATGGATTAAGACTGTTACAGAGACAGAATGAGGACGGAGAGTCCAACCGGGGACCACTCTGATAAAGGAAGCAGTACTGGGGACTAGCTAACTTACTGCTGTGTCTTAACGACACATTACTGTGTTGGATAAAGAAGAGATTTTTTTAAAATTTATTTTTATTTATTTACTTATGTTGTTCTTTTTGAGACAGGGTCTGCCTATAGCACCAGCTGGCCTGGAACTCATTATGTAGACCAGGCTGGCCTTGAATCACAGAGATCCACCTGCCTCTGCCTCCCGAGTGCTGGGATTAAAGGCATGTGCCACCACACCTGGGCCTTAATTTATTATTTCTATTGTATGTTTATGAGTGTATTACCTGCATGTAATGTACCTATGTCATGCAATGCCTGAAAAGGTGAGAAAAGGCTATTGGATTCTCCTGAACTGGAGCTGGGGACAGTTGTTAGCTGCCATGTGAGTATTGGGAATTCAACGCAGGTCCTCTGCAAGAACATCCAGTGCTCTTAAAGTCTGAGCTAGGGAGATCTTTTTGTTTTGTTTTTATTTTTGTGTATTTCATACAGAATATCTTTATCATATTTATATCTCCTTCTCCATTGGTTCCTTCCCATAGCTCCTCCACACACTGGAATTCATACATCTGTCATTTTTGTTAAGGTCTATCATGTCAAGTTAGTGTTCCTAGATGTGCCTCAGAGGAAGTTCATCCACTGAGGTCTAGTCAGCCTATCTAGAGTCCCTCCCTTTAAGATCAGCTCTTCCTCACCCAGCAGTAATCAGCTGCCAATAATTCTTCGACTAACATTGGGGCCTACTGTCAATTTTCAGTTCTGTGCTGGGTTTTTCTCTGCTTGATTCTGCATGGGTCTTGTGTGTGCTGACACTATTGCTGTAGATTCATATGAGAAGGGTCCCAGTAGTCTGTAGAATTCTATTTGCATATGGTCATGCACCTCCTCCCAGGCTCTTACAATCTTTCTGACCCCTCTTCCCCAATGGTTCCCAAGTCCTGGGTGGGTGGATTTTAATATAGGAGTCTTGTTCAAGGACTCACACTCTATAGATTCTTATTCTCTTCGTTTTGGCAATTTGTGATCTTTTGTTTTCCTGCCCCTCTGTTGCATGAGTGAGCTTTACTGATGAAAACTGAAAGATGCATTAGTGTTCTCTTTATTCCTTGCTCTATGTTCCATGAGCCTTAGATGTAAAGGTTGCATCCCAGATGTGCCACTGTCTTAGTTTGTTCTTCATTGCTGTGACAAAACACTCTGACCACTACCAACTTGGGGAGGAAAGGGTTTATTCAGCTTACATATCCCAGGTCACAGTTTATCCGGGAGCCCAAGGTAGGAACTTAGGGCAGGAACCTGGAGGCAGGAGCTGGAACACAGGCCATGGAGGAAAGCTGCTTACTGGCTTGCTTCCCTGGCCCCTGCTCAACCTACTTTCTTATGCCACACAGGCCCACCTGCCCAGGGGTGGCACCACCCACAGGGGGCTGGGCCCTCCCACATCATTCATCAAGAAGATGCCCCTCAGACATTGCCACAGACCAGTCCAATAGAGGCAATTCCCCAACTGAGGCTCCTTCAACCCAGGTGTGTCAAGTTGACAATAAAGCTAATTCAGCACAATTGACCCCTTGTCAACTTGACACACAAACATCACTATTAAACCATAAGCTTTCCAATTCTTGTCCCCAAGATATGTTAACATTAATATAACAACATAAGACAGTACAACCTTAAAAAACCCCCAGTCCTTAAAAAATTCAAACACTTAAAAGTCCATAGTATCTTAATAGTCTCTTAACTGTGGGTGGGCATCTATAAAATCCAAAACAAGTACTGTCTTATTTCAAAGGGAAGAATCGGGCACCAAAGTCCAGCAAAGTAGCTCGAGGCTGGACATCTGGGATTCACTCGTGATCTTCTGGCTCCAAAGGGTACTGGCAGCTCCACTGCTCTGACTCTGCTGTCCACAGCACACTCAGCTCATCTCACAGACCCAGGCCAGCTCCATTCCACACCTACTGCTGTCATTGGTGGTAGTCCCACGGTCCCGGCATCTCCAAAAAGCTGGGGTCTCCACTGAAACTGAGGCTACACCTTCACCAATGGCCTCTTCTTGCCTCTTGGAGTGCAAAGCCTCAGATTCTCTCCATGACCCCTTCAATCCTGGGGTCTTTGCTGAAACTGATGCTGCACTTTCACCTATGGCCTTTCCTGGCCTCTCAGAGTGCCAAGCCTCAGCTGCTATCTGTGACCCCTTCATGCTTTCAACACCAGAACCATGCAGGAGACTCTTACTCATTACCAAGTCCTGCTTCCAGCTTGAAATAGAGGTAAAGGTCCCCTCTGTGTGCTGACCCTGAGGAAATACCTCCCAGAAGACTTCACCACAGCATGCTGGTCTCTTGTTACTTACAGCTGATTTTTCAGCCCCAGCTAACCAGCATCAATTATGCCAGTAAAGCAAAGATTTTACTTCAGGTTCTGGTCTCTTCTTAATCACAGCTGATTCTTCAGCCCCAGCTGACCAGAATCCACACAGATTCTCCATCCAAAATCTCACATGAACAGCCCTGATGGTCTCTGCTTCCCTTTGAAGCTTCACAAGCCAGGCCTCCATTGTTCACAACTTTTTCAGCATAACTGTTCAAGCTCCACAGCAACAAACTCTAAGCATGCAATGGCTTTTCTAGCCCAAAGTTCTAAACACTTCAACAGTCCTCCCCAAAACAGCTGGGTCAGGTCTGTCACAGCAGTACCCTACTCCTGTACCAATTTCTGTCCTAGTTTGTTCTTCATTGTTGTGACAAAATATTCTAACCAATACCAACTTGGGGGGGAAAGGGTTTATTTAGCTTACATATCCTGGGTCACAGTTTATCAGGGAGCCCAAGGTAGGAACTCAGGGCAGGAACCTGGAGGCAGGAGCTGGAGCACAGGCCATGGAGGAAAGCTGCTTACTGGCTTGCTCCCCTGGCCCCTGCTCAGCCTGCTTTCTTATGCAACACAGGCCCACCTGCCCAGGGGTGGCACCACCCACAGTGGGCTGGGCCCTCCCACATCACTCATCAAGAAGATGCCCCTCAGACATGGCCACAGGCCAGTCCAATAGAGGAAATTCCCCAATTGAGGCTCCCTCAACCCAGGTGTGTCAAGTTGACACTAAAGCTATCCAGCACAGCCACTTAGACTTGGACAATTCTCAATCTCTGTGTGTGATCAAGTGTGGAACTCTGTAATAATCTGTCTGTTGAAAAAGAAACTTCTTTGATGAGTAATGACTGGGCTTGTATATAAGGATTTGAGGGAGAACACATGTCTTTTGTTTTCCTGAGTCTGTGTTACTTCACTTAGTATAAGAGTTTCTTGTTCCATCCATTTACCTGCAAATTTCATTATTTCATCTTCCTTTACCGCTGAGTAGAACTCCATTGTGCAAATCTACCACATTTTTGTTATCTACTCATCAGTTGAGGGACACTTTGGTTGCTTCCATCTTTTAGCTATTGTGAAAAGGGCAGGAACAAACATGGATGTACAGGTGTCTCTGTAATAGGATGAGTTTTTTGGGTATATGTCAAGTGCGGTTGCCGGCTGTGGCTGCTCTCCTCCGGCTATGGCCGCTCTCCTGCTCTCTTAGTTCCTCCGATCAGTCGTCTGGTCTGGACCCCAGGCCTGGTGAGGAGTCTGCGCCAGCGTCGCTGCATTCAGATGCAGGAGACCAGGTTCAGTGACACAGAGCTGCTTTATTGCAGGAAGGCACAAGCTTATATGGGGTAGTGGTCCAAGCACAGCAAGTAGGATACCTCATTAGCATAACAGGTTTAGCGTCCTATCACAGAATAGTGGGTAGGATGCCTCATTAGCATACTGGGTTTCAGATTACAGAGCCTAGATTTCTGGAAACCCCATGACCGTGACTGTTGCAATATCTAAGTGTTGCAATTTGGATTCCAAGGGTGGTGACTAGGGAGTGGTGAGCTCTAGGCATCAGTCTCATGATCTACCAGTGGGAGCAAATGTCACAAGGTGTTCCTTGTGGCTCCAGCGGTTGGGCCGTTGCCTCAGGCCTACTGTATGGCTGTCAACAAGACTTTTACCCTCAAGCCTGTCTCCCACAGTAAAGGAGTGGTAAAACTGGGTCACATGGTAGGCTCATTTTTAGTTTTTTAAGAGTTCTCCACACTACTTTCCATTGGGGTTACACAAGTTTGCAATCCCACCAGCAGTGAATGAGCATTCCCCTTTCTCCACATCCTTGTCAGCATTTGGTATCATTTGTTCTGTTGATCGTAGCCAGTTTGGGGTAAGATGAAATCTTAAGGTGGTATTAATGTGCATTTTCCTAATTACTAACAATGTTGAATACTTTTTAAGATGTTTCTTAACCATCTTTATTTCTTCTTTTGAGAACTCTCTGTTCAGATCTTTAGGCAATCTTTTAGTTGGCATTTGTTTTCTTGATTCTTTGTTTTTTAGTTCTTTATATATTTTGGATGTTAAACCTCTGTCAGATGTGTCACTGGTGAAGATTTTTTTTCCATTCTGTGGGTTTTCTATTCACGTTTTTTATTGTTTCTCCTGTTGTACAGAAGCTTTTTAGTTTAATGAGGTCCCACTTGTTGACTGTTGATGTTAATTCCTGAGCATCTAATGTCTGATTTAGAAAATCCTTTCCTACACCTATACTTTGAAGTTTACTGCCAATATTGTCTTCTAACAGTTTCAGAGTTTCAACTTTGACATACATTGAAGTCTCTGATCCATTTGGAGTTGACTTTTGTGCAAAGCAAAAGATAAGGATCTAGTTTCGCTCTTCTACAGATGGAAATCCAGTTTTGCCAGCACCATTTGTTGAAGATGCTGTGTTTCCTCCATTGTGTGTTCTTGGCACCTTTGTCAAATATCAGGTGGCTGAAATTGTGTGTACTTGGGTTTGGGTCTTCAGTGACATTCCATTGATCT